CACGTTCAGAGTGTGTGTATACTATTTTAACCTCATTTTCTTCTTCTTCTTCTTCTTCTTCTTCTTCTTCTTCTTCTTCTTCTTCTTCTTCTTCTTCTTCTTCTTCTTCTTCTTCTTCTTCTTCTTCTTCTTCTTCTTCTTCTTCTTCTTTATATCCATCATCATCATCATCGTCATTTTTCACTAATATGCTCCTGCTTTCAACATTGTCAGTCTTATTTAATTTTCTTTTTTGTTTATTCCAATTTCAAATTCCTTTTTTTTCCTAGGTTTTCTCTATCATTATTTTCTTTCGTCATATTAACTGTTTATTTTCAATCTTCTGTTTTTTTCGGTTTTATGTCGGAGCTACCTTTATAAACGTGTTCCTTTTTCTGACATACATGTTGTCTGACTTTTTTTTAAATGTCATCTTTTCTCTCTCTCTCTCTCTCTCTCTCTCTCTCTCTCTCTCTCTCTCTCTCTCTCTCTCTCTCTCTCTCTCTCTCTCTCTCTCTCTCTCTCTCTCTCTCTCTCTCTTCTTTCACATTCTCCGGTATTACTGGTAAATTCCCGCTCCCCCCTCCCCACCCCCACACACACACACACACACACACACACACACACACACACGCTTTCTTCCTGTGATTTGGTCGTTGAAACTGTCATTGTTGTTGCTATTCTGTCAGCCATCCTCCTATCGCCAACATCGGGTCCACATTGCCCTGGTCCCCAGCTACTACATCTGTCTGTCTTGATCTTTAAATCTTTGACTGGAAGACTTCAACCTCTTTCCCTTTGTCTTGTTCTCATCTTCCTGACCGTTGTTTTCATCTGCTTGTAACGCTTCATGGACTCAAAGATAGGAAATCCCGGAGGAAACCCAATTAGTCAAACTATTCGTCGTGTAGTGGGCGCAACACCAAATCCCTCGCTTTCTCTTCTGTACTTCAGAAATGAGTTTCCTCCGACTAAGTTAAACGAAGAGTTTTTGATCGATGATACAAGTTAAAGGGCCGCGTTAGCGCAGTCGACATGAGACTCGCTTTCAAATCCAGCTGCAACTTGCTGCAGCCCACGGCTGGTGTTCGAAACCGGGCGGTTCCGGGGGTTTACCTAGCCTCTAGGAAATGGGAACCAGAGTTGACACTCTGGGGTAAATGGAGGAACTTATGGTTTATAGCCTTGTGCAATTAATGACCCTGGTTTACATCTACCGATTTTTTTGTTTACTGACTGAATGTCGGAACTTGTCTCACTCTGGTCTGACTCATTTCCCAGGACACGACCCATGACATCGACTACAATTATCGTCCCCTAGTGAATTAGTTATGCTGCTTTTTCTTTTGAGCTTATCGTCTGTTCTCCAGTTTTACATCAGAGGAAGAATGGACAGAAGAGAGAGAGAAAAAAACACACACACGATTTGTTACAACAACTAACACGACTTTTGACACACAGAGGACTACCATTTTTAACAAGGCAACTCTAATTAGAACTATTGGCTAACTTGATGCTTGCAGTGCCAATCATCAACATCTGCTAAAAATAATCAGCACACAATCATAAAAGCAGAGATGGAAGAGCTTAGAATAGCTGGTTTTCTTTTTTTTTAGAGCACTGCATGCGATGGTTCGGTCATCTGATGAGAATGCCGTGATACGGTCGCTGATTCCGATTCCGATTCCTTTTGAGAAAAAAAATAAAAGTTCGACCACTTTCAGACTGCTGCTAGCTAGCCGAGGCTGCTAAGTCTCCGCCTATATTTGTGGTCTGGATTATTTGCGTCACTTTCGTGACTAAAATCTAGTGTTTTCGCCATTTCTGGGCTTGATGCTTCCTTCCGATTCAGACCGCTCGTCCTCCACCCTGTTGTTACTTGTGCATGTCTTTCCTCTTCTCACTTGATGTTTTCTCTTTTTTGTGTCTCCCTCTGATTTGGCCAGGCGTATTTCGTAGGAGAGCAAGCTTTTCTACATGACGTCATTTGGACCACCATTTACAGTTTCAAAATTTTGGGTATTTTATTTTGCCAAAAAGTACTGAAAACAGTTTTTGATTTTGGATAGTTCCGAAATGTGAAAATATTTCGCGTGTGACCATAGTGGTCTTATAGTTGTCTTCCTGCAATAAGAACGGGTCAGTCATGTCGTGGAGATGTGTGTGGGAAATGTTTTGTGGAGCCTCAAAGCGTCGTCATTTGTTAGTCTGTGATCCGGTTGTGTCGGTTTGGGTTGGCAGCTAGGCTCCGGTGTGCGTAAATACCATATACCCGGAGCACCTAGCTCACGCTTTGAGATCCAAATGTTCGGCGATGATACTTGCTGTGGCATGTTGGGTATCGAACTCAAGTGCTCTCTGTGGAAAGGGGGAGGGGGAGTTGAACTCATAGTGCATCCGAAAGAGGTAGAAAAGGGTAAGGGGAAAGGGGGTGGGAGGCCATTCAGTCATTTTTCGTCGTTGCCGTCTTGCTGGATTCTAGCGTGGCCTTTAGCTGGGATAATACGTATCACGTCACCATCCTTTGCTATCATCCCACTGATAGGGTGGTATTGGTGGTTAAGTGTTCTAGTTCTGTCAGTATCGATTCACTTATTTTCCCTAATTGCTATCAGTCATATCTTGTTGTGAGCTCTACCGGTCATGTTTATGTTGTATGCATGATGTGGAATGGGGTAGTTTTGAGTATGAATCCCCGGAGTATATAGACGCACACAACTAAGTGTATGCGTACATGCACTCGAGCATTCATACACGCAGACAAAACTACATGTGTGCACTTCCTTTCATACGTATCCGTGTATGCATACCTATTTGACATTCCGCACACATGCATACTCTTTCATATGTGTCTACCAATGCCTACATAAATACACTTACATGCATGAAAAACGTGTACTTCCACACGTAAGGACACTCACATTTCCATGCCTTGCGTGTTATTTTGTGTCACTATGTCTGTGATATCGTCTGGTCTGTCACTTTTTAAGTTCGCTGAGAGCTATGGCTGAAGAAATACAATGAACACGGATCACGGGGAAGACCATGCAAACATTCATAAATAAAGACCAACTTATACAACGCATTAGAAAGAACACATAGAAGATCCATATATCTGCCTCCAAAACTTGGATGAAGTCACTAGGAAAGATGAAGACGAAGCTGGCGCGCTCCAGCCACTCCCGAGCGAAACTTTCACAGAGAAGACTGTTAGTCAATGCATTGTAGCAAATCGCAAGTTTCAGCTGACGCCAACGAGGTCATGCTGTTAACTTATTTCATTAAGAGAAGGCCGTTCATAAAGTTCGAATTGAGTTGATTTAAGTTGAGTCTAAAATTAAACATCACAGCGTTCGGGGCATTCTCATGCGTGCTCCATCCTCATCTTCAGCAGCCAGCGCAGATACTGATGGTACCGATCACAATCTGGTTATGTGTCCGTCTTGCTTTTCCTCTGAGTGTAGTGAGCCGGCCAGACCCTCTGGTTACACCCAGGTGCCTTTTTCTTTCCAGGCCATAATATTCTTCTTTCTCTACTGATTCCGTTGCTTGTTCTCAAGGAGCCTTGACAAAATCTGCCCTGTCATGTATCAATCAATTCACCACCCAGTAGTGCAGATCCAGCCAATCTATTTGCCTGTTTATTACCCAACACACCGGCATAGCCTAGAGAACAGATCCAAAGTATGCTCACTACCTGTGAACTTCCCAGTGAAGCTTGCCACTCTGCTCGAAGCATCCCTGTCTTCATCTTTCTCAGCATGCTTTCAGAGTGTTACAGTTACAACATGCATCTTGTTCTATAGCCTTCACAGAGCAGTAGTTACCGCCTCCACCTCAATTCTCATGCTAGATGTTGTGTCGTATGCTAGGCTGTCTTGCACTAAAGATTTTCCATATACTTTCGCTACGAACCCCAAGGCACTTCTCTTTCCTCTCAGCACCGAACCATCTGTATAGAAAATCAGATAACCTGGGTGTGAATTGTCGTGAATCAACTGTTGGACTTCTACCTCCGTAGCACCCGCTGGCCACTCTCTGCACTCGTCAAGTTCGAATTGTTCCGTGACATAAGAAATGAATTTAGGATTTTTCTGTGAGGCCACAGCTGAAGTTAGAATTTTTTTAATGAATCCACCAATGATTTTAGGACAGTCATCGCCATGACCCAGTTCTAGCTCTGCTGGGAAAGCTGGTGGTCATGGATCTAAATAAATGTGTATTCGGCGCCATGTTCTACTTGTCTAGACTCTAGCCATTGTGCGATGCTCCATGGAACACCGCTTACCACTGATATCGCCATGACTTCAACGGGGATATCAGAGAGCTGATGTTTGCAGATGATGTAGCAATAACCACTCACTCAGAAGAGGTGCTGGGATGTCTACTATCTGCCTTTGCTGATGCGTACTGTGAATTTGGACTAACAATCAGCAAAAATTAGACACAAATTGTGGTGCAAGGTGTCAATGACAGACATGCAGTCTACATTGACGTTGAAGATCTGGAGACAGTTGACCATTTTACCTATCTGGATAACAAACTATCGCTGGACCAAGAAATCAATATCAGGATAGGTGAGGAAGCAACAGCAATGAGCAGATTAACAAAAAGAATTTGGGAGAACAGAAAACAAAAACTTTTGTCTATCAGGCTTGAGTTCTCAGCACTGTTTTATGATAGTGAAACTTGGTCAACTTATTCGCACCAAGAGAGACGGCTAAATACTTTCACATGCGATGCCTAAGAAGAATACTTGGCATTAAGTGGCCGGACAAGATCACAAACACTGAGGTACTGGAAAGAGCAGTTACTACAAGAGTCTCTTCCATGCTAAGTCTACGAAGGCTCAGGTGGCTGGGTCACACCTGGAGGACGGCAGAATCCCTAAGGACATCATTTTTGGGGATTATATCTATAAAAACACAGGCATTAGATTCGAGAGAGAACACAGATGTATTGTGACAAATTTTTTTCAAATCAACAGATCACACATCAACATTATTCCCTCTTCAGGAGAGCACCTCATTGGCCGAAGCACCCTATCAATCATGCTACAAGAAGACAACTGACTGGACACCTTGCTCTGTGTCTTGCGATGTGGGCGTGTCCATTCGGATCGTCGTGGATACAAACACATGCAATAATTACCAAGAACTTCAGCTCTGCTATCTCCGCCCGTGTACAGAAAATTCGGAAATTATGGTAAGTTCTGTGTGCAAGGAAAATTAGGATTACAGTAAGTAGCTTGTTGCTAAAGTTCTGTGTGCAAGGAAAATTAGGATTACAGTAAGTAGCTTGTTGCTAAAGTTCTGTGTGCAAGGAAAATTAGGATTACAGTAAGTAGCTTGTTGCTAAAGTTCTGTGTGCAAGGAAAATTAGGATTACAGTAAGTAGCTTGTTGTTATGGTACGTTCTTTGTGCAAGTAACGGCCACATATTATGGCAGCCAAAAACACACCCTGACAGGGCCTTATTAGGTCGTGTGTTGTAAACATTCAAAAACTTGAACTCGAAAATAATCAGGAACGAGAAAAGCGGAAAATGACGAAATCGACTACTAAGCGATAATTGAGACCTTTATATCTACAAATAGTAGCACAGAAGTTGCAAATAGTGCCCGAAAATCTGCTCTTTGTGGCTGCAGCGCCATTGAAACTCGGCTAAATGTGATCGGTGCCGCATTTGTAACGCAGTTTTCACCGTCGAGAGTACGCGCGACGCGGATAGGGGGCTAAACTAGATGGCTGGGACTCACTAGCACATAAATTGGAGGAAGTTGCAGAAGATGCGGTAGCTGCTGCTCGTGAGTCCCAGCCATCTAGTTTAACCCCCTCCCCCCACCCCAATCTGCGCCGCGCGTAGCATACGCTCAGCGGTGAGTTTAATCGGAAGAACACTATCGCTAACCTGCGTCGGAGCGCGTGGTCTCCCCGCCATGTCGCTATTATCGTGTGTATAATTGCGTTTCTCGAAATTGTCAACGGACTGTAATCCTAGTTTTGCCGCGAAGTGTTCGTCGTACGAAGTCCGCAATTTACTTGTGATCGAGGCCCAGTCAGGGTGTGTTATTTTATCGCCATAATGTGTGGCCGTTATTCGGAGGATAGCCAAGTAATGTAATGATGACAGTCAGCAGCTTGTTATTATTTTAATATATAATATTATATATTATATATAATATATATTTTTTTGAATTATTATATCAAACGAGATGGATTAATCTGCTACACATTAACACAATCACAAATACAAAGAAAGTTGCGGCTATGAAGCGTTCATCAGAATACAAAACAGATAAACATTGGTACAACACCCCCCCCCCCCCCACACACCCACCCACACACACACACACACACACACACACACACACCCACACACACAATCACTGACATACAAGCTGAGATCTCTCACGCAAATTTCCATCACACGTCTGGACAGTAGAGACTCTTGAGTCACACGTGACGCAGGAAGTGATATCAGACCAGAGGAGAGATGAAAGTAGTGTGTTCTACAAGGGCTGTAACATGACATTTATGAGACAAAGTTGTGTTGGACGTTAATGCCTTTGTGTGAGAAGGATCCCACAAGACAGATCAGACAGTTCTCTTGAGATCTGCTCTTTCTGTGGAATGGCTAGACCTGGCGGTTGTAAGCTCCATGCTGAAAGCACCTTGATGACTTGATGGCACCGTCTGCCTAAACCTGTCCGTTAAATGCTATGGAATATAATGGCTACTTTGGAATACATTGTTGCGTGGATTACAATGGCTGCAGACAGACATTAATTTTTACAGATGGTCACGATGGGGTTGGGAGACAACCAGTTCCCCCCCCCCCACCCCCGGACACAGATTCCCAGATATTCTTGTGGGTAGACACAGTGGTGAGGAGCTGACACGGGTGGCTAGAGGCCGTCACACAGTGGCGAGGAGCTGACACGGGTGGCTAGAGGCCGTCACACAGTGGCGAGGAGCTGACACGGGTGGCTAGAGGCCGTCACACAGTGGCGAGGAGCTGACACGGGTGGCTAGAGGCCGTCACACAGTGGCGAGGAGCTGACACGGGTGGCTAGAGGCCGTCACACAGTGGCGAGGAGCTGACACGGGTGGCTAGAGGCCGTCACACAGTGGCGAGGAGCTGACACGGGTGGCTAGAGGCCGTCACACAGTGGCGAGGAGCTGACACGGGTGGCTAGAGGCCGTCACACAGTGGCGAGGAGCTGACACGGGTGGCTAGAGGCCGTCACACAGTGGTGAGGAGCTGACACGGGTGGCTAGAGGCCGTCACACAGTGGTGAGGAGCTGACACGGGTGGCTAGAGGCCGCTGTCCCAAGGAAATATGTATACTTGCACATCAGCATCTGTTTGGGGGGGGGGGGGGGGGGGGGGGGGGGGGGGGGGGGGGGGGGGACTAGAGAACATAGTATGAGTCAGCAAGTTCAATGACCAATCTAGTTAGTTAATGATTCTCTAGCTGTCTAGTGTCTCAGTGCTCTAAGATATGTCATTGATGATTCTCTAGCTGTCTAGTGTCTCAGTGCTCTAAGATCTGCTATTGATGATTCTCTAGCTGTCTAGTGTCTCAGTGCTCTAAGATCTGCCATTGATGATTCTCTAGCTGTCTAGTGTCTCAGTGCTCTGTCTAGTGTCTCAGTGCTCTCAGATCTGTCACTAATGATTCTCTAGCTGTCTAAAGTGTCTCAGTGCTCTCAGATTTGTCACTAATGATTCTCTAGCTGTCTAGTGTCTCAGTGCTCTCAGATCTGTCACTAATGATTCTCTAGCTGTCTAGTGACTCAGTGCTCTCAGATCTGTCACTAATGATTCTCTAACCGTCTAGTGTCTCAGTGCTCTCAGATCTGTCACTAATGATTCTCTAACCGTCTAGTGTCTCAGTGCTCTCAGATCTGTCACTAATGATTCTCTAGCTGTCTAGTGTCTCAGTGCTCTCAGATCTGTCACTAATGATTCTCTAACCGTCTAGTGTCTCAGTGCTCTCAGATCTGTCACTAATGATTCTCTAACCGTCTAGTGTCTCAGTGCTCTCAGATCTGTCACTAATGATTCTCTAACCGTCTAGTGTCTCAGTGCTCTCAGATCTGTCACTAATGATTCTCTAACCGTCTAGTGTCTCAGTGCTCTCAGATATGTCACTAATGATTCTCTAACCGTCTAGTGTCTCAGTGCTCTCAGATATGTCACTAATGATTCTCTAACCGTCTAGTGTCTCAGTGCTCTCAGATCTGTCACTAATGATTCTCTAACCGTCTAGTGTCTCAGTGCTCTCAGATCTGTCACTAATGATTCTCTAACCGTCTAGTGTCTCATTGCTCTCAGATCTGTCACTAATGATTCTCTAGCTGTCTAGTGTCTCATTGCTCTCAGATCTGTCACTAATGATTCTCTAATCGTCTAGTGTCTCATTGCTCTCAGATCTGTCACTATTGATTCTCTAACCGTCTAGTGTCTCAGTGCTCTCAGATCTGTCACTAATGATTCTCTAACCGTCTAGTGTCTCAGTGCTCTCAGATCTGTCACTAATGATTCTCTAACCGTCTAGTGTCTCAGTGCTCTCAAATCTGTCACTAATGATTCTCTAACCGTCTAGTGTCTCAGTGCTCTCAGATATGTCACTAATGATTCTCTAGCCGTCTAGTGTCTCGTTGCTCTCAGATCTGTCACTAATGATTCTCTAACCGTCTAGTGTCTCATTGCTCTCAGATCTGTCACTAATGATTCTCTAACCGTCTAGTGTCTCAGTGCTCTCAGATCTGTCCCCTAATTATGTCAACATTTCAGAACCAGGAGAAGTGTACTGCAACCAGCCGGCGGAGCTCCCGCCGTGTGCACATTAGATACCAGGACTGTCTCTCAGTCAGAGACTACAGCCTCAAGTTTTGTACTAACTGCAAGACAAACAAATGTTGCTATCCTCGACGGACTCGAACACGAGCCATGGAGTTTCAGGTAAAGGTGGTTGCCATCCTTGCAGAACTGTCTGTCATCTTAGTGACCAATTTTCAGTGTTATGTAAATAAATGTCGGCCTAGTAGTTGTCAGTCTAGTGGAGCTAGTGACATCATGTTCTTCTAGTCTGCAACCATGTATTTGCTGGAAATAGCTGACATCAATGGGATCATACAAAACTGAACATACAGCTTGGAACAGCAGCATTAGAATCTGTGGACATCCCTTGTTAGATGTGGCTCTATGGACATCCCTTGTTGGATGTGGCTCTATGGACATCCCTTGTTGGATGTGGCTCTATGGACATCCCTTGTTGGATGTGGCTCTATGGACATCCCTTGTTGGATGTGGCTCTATGGACATCCCTTGTTAGATGTAGCTCTATGGACATCCCTTGTTGGACGTGGCTCCATGGACATCATTTGTTGGATGTGGCTCCATGGACATTACTTGTTGGATGTGAATCCATGGACATCACTTGTTGGATGTGACTCCACGGACATCACTTGTTGTATGTGGCTCTATGGACATCACTTGTTGGACATGGCTCCATGGACAACACTTGTTGTATGTGGCACTATGGACATCACTTGTTAAACGCTGCTCCATGGACAACACTTGTTGTATGTGGCTCTATGGACATCACTTGTTGGACCTGCTCCATGGACAACACTTGTTGGACATGGCTCCATGGACATCACTTGTTGGATGTGGCTCCATGGACATCATTTGTTGGATGTGACTCCATGGACATCGTTTGTTGGACGTGGCTCCATGGACATCATTTGTTGGACATGGCTCCATGGACATCATTTGTTGGACGTGGCTCCATGGACATCATTTGTTGGACATGGCTCCATGGACATCACTTGTTGTATGTGGCTCTATGGACATCACTTGTTGTATGTGGCTCCATGTACATCACTTGTTGGATGTGGCTCTATGGACATCACTTGTTGTATGTGGCTCCATGTACATCACTTGTTGGATGTGGCTCCATGGACAACACTTGTTGTATGTGGCTATATGGACATCACTTGTTGGATGTGGCTTCATGGGCAACACTTGTTGTATGTGGCACTATGGACATCACTTGTTGGACGCTGCTCCATGGACAACACTTGTTGTATGTGGCTCTATGGACATCACTTGTTGGACGCTGCTCCATGGACAACACTTGTTGGACATGGCTCCATGGACATCACTTGTTGGATGTGGCTCCATGGACATCATTTGTTGGATGTGACTCCATGGACATCATTTGTTGGATGTGACTCCATGGACATCATTTGTTGGACATGGCTCCATGGACATCATTTGTTGGACATGGCTCCATGGACATCATTTGTTGGACGTGGCTCCATGGACATCATTTGTTGGATATGGCTCCATGGACATCACTTGTTGGATGTAACTCCATGGACATCACTTGTTGGATGTGGCTCCATGGACATCATTTGTTGGATGTGGCTCCATGGACATCATTTGTTGGATGTGACTCCATGGACATCATTTGTTGGACATGGCTCCATGGACATCATTTGTTGGACATGGCTCCATGGACATCATTTGTTGGACGTGGCTCCATGGACATCATTTGTTGGACATGGCTCCATGGACATCATTTGTTGGACATGGCTCCATGGACATCATTTGTTGGACATGGCTCCATGGACATCATTTGTTGGACATGGCTCCATGGACATCACTTGTTGTATGTGGCTCCATGGACATCACTTGTTGAATGTAGCTCCATGGACATCACTTGTTGAATGTGGCTCTATGTACATCCCTTGTTGAATGTGGCTCCATGTACATCCCTTGTTGAATGTGGCTCTATGTACATCCCTTGTTGAATGTGGCTCCATGTACATCCCTTGTTGAATGTGGCTCCATGGACATCCCTTGTTGAATGTGGCTCCATGTACATCCCTTGTTGAATGTGGCTCCATGTACATCCTTGTTGGATGTGGGCTCCATGTCACATTGGATTCCCTTTTGAATGTGGCTCCATGGACATCCCTTGTTGAATGTGGCTCCATGTACATCCCTTGTTGAATGTGGCTCCATGTACATCCCTTGTTGAATGTGGCTCTATGTACATCCCTTGTTGAATGTGGCTCTATGTACATCCCTTGTTGAATGTGGCTCCATGGACATCACTTGTTGGACTTGGCTATAATGGACATCACTTGTTGGATGTAGCTCCATGGACATCACTTGTTGGATGTAGCTCCATGGACATCACTTGTTGAATGTGGCTCCATGGACATCACTTGTTGGATGTGGCTCCATGGACATCCCTTGTTGGATGTGACTCCATGGACATCCCTTGTTGGATGTGGCTCCATTGACATCCCTTGTTGGATGTGGCTCTATGTACATTGCTCAGTTGTCAATGCCAGTGGCGGATGCAATGAAGACATTTTAATCTTTGAAGTTTGAACAATGGATCAACATCATGGCTCACGGGTAGTAACCAATAAGTGCTCTGTTCTTCTTCCAACTCAAGTCTGAGTCTGAAGAAGCTCAGCACAGTGCACAGGCTTAAATGTTAAGATTAGCCATTTCTCTCCTCTGGGAAAACCAACAGATGCTCTTAGCCAAATTCATATTAATTAGTTCTGTTTTCTTCTTTTTCATTTAGCCTACGCATGTATCCAGCTATGTCCCCACTGTGTGGATCTTTTTATGTCTTCCACTGACTTAGTTTAATCTTGAATTGATCCCATCCACGACCGTTCCCACTGATGTATTTATTCATCCACCAGTAGATCTTTATATCCTTGATTCTTCTGCTCCTTCTGCAATTCAGTTAGAGTTTAATCTTAAAATTGTCCAGTTTTTGCAGCAAAAACTTCATAAAATGTCGCCCATCCCTCTCTATCCCTCACCCAGTCTTTACACTCCGACCAGCTCATGTCCACCCTTCTCTTGGTGTTAGCTTCTCACTTGTATCAGCCAAGGTCAGCTGCTTTCCTCTATTTGTCACCTTCATTATGATCTGCTTATGATCTGACATGCCTTTTAATGATACTGACACATTTTAATTGTATTTTTTCAACTTCATTCAACAACTCTCCTGTCATTTCTGGTCTTTCCAGAATCTCTGTATGACTGTTGAATGTTGTCTCCATGAGATCTGACCTCATCTTCTGTAACTCCACATCTCCAAGAGCTCACTTCAGCAATGTTCCAATGTTTGTTTGCAGCTTTCAATGTTTGGTCCAGTATGTCTTCAATGTTTGTTCTAATCAGTTCTAGTATGTTAGTAGATTCAAGCATTTGTTTTACTCTATTCCAGTATTTTAGCAGACTTAAATATTTGTTCTAATCAGTTCTAGTATGTTAGTAGATTCAAGCATTTGTTTTACACTATTCCAGTATTTTAGCAAACTCAAATATTTGTTCTAATCAGTTCTAGTTTGTTAGAAGATTCAAGTATTTGTTTTACTATATTCCAGTATTTTAGCAGACTTAAATATTTGTTCAAATCAGTTCTAGTATGTTAGTAGATTCAAGCATTTGTTTACTCTATCTCTATTCCATTTTTAGCAGACTTAAATATTTGTTCTAATCAGTTCTAGTATGTTAGTAGATTCAAGCTTTTGTTTTACTCTATTCCAGTATTTTAGCAGACTTAAATATTTGTTTCAATCAGTTCTAGTATGTTAGTAGATTCAAGCATTTGTTTTACTCTATTCCAGTATTTTAGCAGACTTAAATATTTGTTCTAATCAGTTCTAGTATGTTAGTAGATTCAAGCATTTGTTTTACTTGATTCCAGTATTTTAGCAGACTCAAATATTTGTTCTAATCAGTTCTAGTATGTTAGTAGATTCAAGCACTCTATTGTATTTTAGCAGACTATTCTAATCAGTTCTAGTATGTTAGTAGATTCAAGCATTTGTTTTACTCTATTCCAGTATTTTAGCAGACTCAAATATTTGTTTCAATCAGTTCCAGTATTTTAGCAGACACAAATGTTTGTTCTACTCTGTTCCAGTGTTCTGATGGAAAAAGAGAAGTCTACAACTACATGTGGATCAAGAGATGTCATTGTGACAAGACCTGCAACCCACGGCAAAGCTCCTTACGACAGCAATCTGGTGGCTGGAGACACAGCTCACGACATCCAGGTGGTTCCTGGAGACCGGGCAGAAAGACCAGGAGAAAGAAGAATCGACGGAGAAGGAAATACCACACATAATCATCCATACAGTAGTTCAGTCTCCCCTCCCTTTCATCAGTTTTTCTGCATTGATAACTTGTTTGTGTCATGTCAGATGGAAAACTAGAACTATGTGGCCAGCACTTGTCCAGACAAACTGTTAGCCATTGCTGGATAGAGTATCTGAGAAGCCACTGGGGAATCAGTCTGAGAACTCGGCCATATTGCTATATCTGACTATCTTAGTGTCTAACTGGAGATGCCGTAATGTTGAGTAGACTTTCTAAGTGTCTGCCTGGAGATGCTGTGTTGTTGAGTAGACTATCTAAGTGTCTACCTGGAGATCAGTTTGACAAAGCAGCTGTGATGTTCAGTAGACTATCTAAGTGTCTACCTGGAGATGCCGTGATGTTGAGTAGACTATCTGAGTGTCTACCTGGAGATGCTGTGATGTTGAGTAGACTATATGAGTGTCTACCTGGAGATGCTGTGTTGTTGAGTAGACTATCTGAGTGTCTACCTGGAGATGCTGTGATGTTGAGTAGACTATCTAAGTGTCTACCTGGAGATGCTGTGATGTTGAGTAGACTATCTAAGTGTCTACCTGGAGATGCTGTGATGTTGAGTAGACTATCTGAGTGTCTACCTGGAGATGCTGTGATGTTGAGTAGACTATCTAAGTGTCTACCTGGAGATGCTGTGATGTTGAGTAGACTATCTAAGTGTCTACCTGGAGATGCTGTGATGTTGAGTAGATTATCTGAGTGTCTACCTGGAGATGCTGTGATGTTGAGTAGACTAAGTGTCTACCTAGAGATGCTGTGATGTTGAGTAGACTATCTGAGTGTCTACCTGGAGATGCTGTGATGTTGAGTAGACTATCTGAGTGTCTACCTGGAGATGCTGGGATGTTGAGTAGACTATCTGAGCGTCTACCTGGAGATGCTGTGATGTTGAGTAGACTATCTAAGTGTCTACCTGGAGATGCTGTGATGTTGAGTAGACTATCTGAGTGTCTACCTAGAGATGCTGTGATGTTGAGTAGACTATCTGAGTGTCTACCTGGAGATGCTGTGATGTTGAGTAGACTATCTGAGTGTCTACCTAGAGATGCTGTGATGTTGAGTAGACTATCTAAGTGTCTACCTGGAGATGCTGTGATGTTGAGTAGACTATCTGAGTGTCTACCTAGAGATGCTGTGATGTTGAGTAGACTATCTAAGTGTCTACCTGGAGATGCTGTGATGTTGAATAGACTATCTGAGTGTCTACCTAGAGATGCTGTGATGTTGAGTAGACTATTTAAGTGTCTACCTGGAGATGCTGTGATGTTGAGTAGACTATCTGAGTGTCTACCTGGAGATGCTGTGATGTTGAGTAGACTATCTGAGTGTCTACCTAGAGATGCTGTGATGTTGAGTAGACTATCTGAGTGTCTACCTAGAGATGCTGTGATGTTGAGTAGACTATCTGAGTGTCTACCTGGAGATGCTGTGATGTTGAGTAGACTATCTGAGTGTCTACCTGGAGATGCTGTGATGTTGAGTAGACTATCTGAGTGTCTACCTGGAGATGCTGTGATGTTGAGTAAACTATCTGAGTGTCTACCTGGAGATGCTTTGTTGTTGAGTAAACTATCTGAGTGTCTACCTAGAGATGCAGTGTTGTTGAGTAGACTATCTAAGTGTCTACCTGGAGATGCTGTGTTGTTGAGTAGACTATCTAAGTGTTTACCTGGAGATGCTGTGATGTTTAGTAGACTATCTAAGTGTCTACCTGGAGATGCTGTGATGTTGAGTAGACTATCTGAGTGTCTACCTGGAGATGCTGTGATGTTGAGTAGACTATCTGAGTGTCTACCTGGAGATGCTGTGATGTTGAGTAGACTATCTGAGTGTCTACCTGGAGATGCTGTGATGTTGAGTAGACTATCTGAGTGTCTACCTGGAGACTCTGTGTTGTTAAGTAAACTATCTGAGAGTCTACCTGGAGATCACCTTGAGAAACCTGCCATGGAGAAACCTTGGATGTTATTGTCAAGCAGAGCCAAAGTATTCTGGCAAATGAATTAGGAGATGCATCAAGTCTTCACTTGTGAAATGTGTCTTTATTGGTGGAGAGTTAAAGTGTTCATACTGCTAGCATTAGTGTCTGGTGGATGAGCACAGGGTGTTCAGTCATTCACTATTGTGTGAAGTGTCTTTGTAGGTGGAGAGTTAAAGTGTTCAGACTGCTAGTACTAGTGTTTGGTTGGTAAGTAATAGGTGTCAAGTCATTCTTACTTGTGTTAAGTGTCATGCTGGGGAAGCCATAAAACATTAAACCTGTTTATGTAAAGTGTTTCTAAAGTCTAGTGTGCAGAACACTTACAGCTGAGACCTGTCTAAAGTCTGGTGTGCAGAACACTTACAGCTGAGACCTGTCTAAAGTCTGGTGTGCAGAACACTTACAGCTGAGACCTGTCTAAAGTCTAGTGTGTAGAACACTTACAGCTGAGACCTGTCTAAAGTCTGGTGTGTAGACACTTACAGCTGAGACCTGTCTAAAGTCTGGTGTGTAGACACTTACAGCTGAGACCTGTCTAAAGTCTGGTGTGTAGAACACTTACGGCTGAGACCTGTCTAAAGTCTGGTGTGTAGAACACTTACAGCTGAGACCTGTCTAAAGTCTGGTGTGTAGACACTTACGGCTGAGACCTGTCTAAAGTCTAGTGTGTAGAACACTTACAGCTGAGACCTGTCTAAAGTCTAGTGTGTAGAACACTTACAGCTGAGACCTGTCTAAAGTCTAGTGTGTAGAACACTTACAGCTGAGACCTGTCTAAAGTCTGGTGTGTAGACACTTACGGCTGAGACCTGTCTAAAGTCTAGTGTGTAGAACACTTACAGCTGAGACCTGTCTAAAGTCTAGTGTGTAGACACTTACAGCTGGGACCTGTCTAAAGTCTGGTGAGTAGACACTTACAGCTGAGACCTGTCTAAAGTCTGGTGGGTAGAACACTTACAGCTGAGACCTGTCTAAAGTCTAGTGTGTAGAACACTTACAGCTGAGACCTGTCTAAAGTCTGGTGAGTAGACACTTACAGCTGAGACCTGTCTAAAGTCTGGTGGGTAGAACACTTACAGCTGAGACCTGTCTAAAGTCTAGTGTGTAGAACACTTACAGCTGAGACCTGTCTAAAGTCTAGTGTGTAGAACACTTACAGCTGAGACCTGTCTAAAGTCTAGTGTGTAGAACACTTACAGCTGAGACCTGTCTAAAGTCTGGTGTGTAGACACTTACAGCTGAGACCTGTCTAAAGTCTGGTGTGTAGAACACACTCACAGCTGAGACCTGTCTAAAGTCTGGTGAGTAGACACTTACAGCTGAGACCTGTCTAAAGTCTGGTGTGTAGACACTTACAGCTGAGACCTGTCTAAAGTCTGGTGTGTAGAACACTTACAGCTGAGACCTGTCTAAAGTCTGGTGTGTAGACACTTACAGCTGAGACCTGTCTAAAGTCTGGTGTGTAGAACACTTACAGCTGAGACCTGTCTAAAGTCTGGTGTGTAGAACACTTACAGCTGAGACCTGTCTAAAGTCTGGTGTGTAGACACTTACAGCTGAGACCTGTCTAAAGTCTGGTGTGTAGAACACCTGTCTACAGCTGAGACCTGTCTAAAGTCTGGTGTGTAGAACACTTACAGCTGAGACCTGTCTAAAGTCTGGTGTGTAGAACACTTACAGCTGAGACCTGTCTAAAGTCTGGTGTGTAGAACACTTACAGCTGAGACCTGTCTAAAGTCTGGTGTGTAGAACACTTACAGCTGAGACCTGTCTAAAGTCTGGTGTGTAGAACACACTCACAGCTGAGACCTGTCTAAAGTCTGGTGTGTAGAACACTTACAGCTGAGACCTGTCTAAAGTCTGGTGTGTAGAACACTTACAGCTGAGACCTGTCTAAAGTCTGGTGTGTGTAGAACACTTACAGCTGAGACCTGTCTAAAGTCTGGTGTGTAGAACACTTACAGCTGAGACCTGTCTAAAGTCTGGTGTGTAGAACACTTACAGCTGAGACCTGTCTAAAGTCTGGTGTGTAGAACACTTACAGCTGAGACCTGTCTAAAGTCTGGTGTGTAGACACTTACAGCTGAGACCTGTCTAAAGTCTGGTGTGTAGAACACTTACGGCTGAGACCTGTCTAAAGTCTGGTGTGTAGAACACTTACAGCTGAGACCTGTCTAAAGTCTGGTGTGTAGAACACTTACAGCTGAGACCTGTCTAAAGTCTGGTGTGTAGAACACTTACAGCTGAGACCTGTCTAAAGTCTGGTGTGTAGACACTTACAGCTGAGACCTGTCTAAAGTCTGGTGTGTAGAACACTTACAGCTGAGACCTGTCTAAAGTCTGGTGTGTAGAACACTTACAGCTGAGACCTGTCTAAAGTCTGGTGTGTAGAACACTTACAGCTGAGACCTGTCTAAAGTCTGGTGTGTAGAACACTTACAGCTGAGACCTGTCTAAAGTCTGGTGTGTAGAACACTTACAGCTGAGACCTGTCTAAAGTCTGGTGTGTAGAACACTTACAGCTGAGACCTGTCTAAAGTCTGGTGTGTAGAACACACTCACAGCTGAGACCTGTCTAAAGTCTGGTGTGTAGACACACTTACAGCTGAGACCTGTCTAAAGTCTTACAGTGTGTGTAGAACACTTACAGCTGAGACCTGTCTAAAGTCTGGTGTGTAGAACACTTACAGCTGAGACCTGTCTAAAGTCTGGTGTGTTAGAACACTTACAGCTGAGACCTGACCTGTCTAAAGTCTGGTGTGTAGTAGAACACTTACAGCTGAGACCTGTCTCTAAAGTCTGGTGTGTAGAGTCTAACACTTACAGCTGAGACCTGTCTAAAGTCTGGTGTGTAGAACACTTACAGCTGAGACCTGTCTAAAGTCTGGTGTGTAGAACACTTACAGCTGAGACCTGTCTAAAGTCTGGTGTGTAGAACACTCACAGCTGAGACCTGTCTAAAGTCTGGTGTGTAGAACACTTACAGCTGAGAC